GTGATGAAAAATGGATTCTCTATGCGAATATTAAACGCCAAAAAAAAAAGGCTCAGTCCTAAACAAAAACCAGTTCCGGTCCCAAAACCTGGACTCCATCCGCAGAAAGTGATGCTTTGTATATGGTGGGACATCAAAGGAGTAATTCAATCCACAGCGAACTGTCAATGCAAAGATCTATAGGCAGCCCTTCATTAGAAACGCCCTTCACCGGTCAATCGGAAAGGTGTTCTTTTCCACGACAATGCACGTCCACACGTGGCACGTTTGACGCAACACAATATTACAGAGTTGGGTTGGGAAGTTCCCTCCCCCCCCATATTCTCCAGATATGGCACCATCAGATTACCATCTTTTTTGTTTAATCAGGGCACTAACAACCTGATTGTAAGATGGAAAAGCATCATCGATAAGAATGGAGACTATTTTATTAAATAAATGTTTTGTTTTGATACATAAGTTGTTCGGGTTTTTTCATCAAAAAAAAGTGAAATTAAGTTCATGACGACCTAATACATTCGATAATACTATATTTCCATCCTGATGGAAGAATTCAACAGATTCGAATCGCCTCGAGCCGACTGCAATATATAAATTCTTATTAGAACAACCACCGAATCTCAATCCGACTGAGCATCTTTGGGATAAACTTAAACAGTCCATTCGCCACCATATTCCTCGAGTGACATCTTCAAACCAACTGCAGGTTATACTTCTTGAAGAATGGGGTACAATCGAATAAAACAGCTTCAGGAATCTTGTGAAGCTGAGTACAGATTATTATTGCTGTGAAGCCACCTTCACAATATGAGGTGCGATGTCCTTATAAAGTTGCTAGTTAATGTACATTAAAATAGTTTTTGATGTTGTCCGTAGGTGGTTGAAGTCAAACAAGTATTTTCGTGTACACCAAACATGTATAATCATTAATTTAATTCAATTAACCCAGTTTTCAAAGAATATTGTTTAGTTCTCAAAGGAGACGTAAACAAACGTGTTTACGTAAATGCATGCTTTTTCCTTGAACTGGTTTCGCATTTTAACAAAACAATTTCGATTTCAAACAAAACAAAGTAATACTTGAGGTTAATGATTTGCTTTTTTCAACGCAATGCCATACAATAGGGTATCTGCGCTCTGTCCACTACAGGAAATAAAACCCAGGGTTTTAGCGTTGCAAATCTGTAAACTTACCGATGACCCATTAGGAGACTGGGTTAATGATAATCAATGAGTATAACTCCAACTGCCACAACAATATTTCATGGTTTTAATGTGAGTACAAAAGGGTCAGAGAACCTGAATTATCGTAACTTAACGTTTTTTTTTGCTCTGATGCTAGGTCGGACAACAGCGATCATGCATGGGAGTTTTATCTTAAACATTCTACAAAAAAGAAAGGACAAACTTACGACATCAGGAAAGAAACAATGGCACGTGCCCAATCTTGTCCTTCAAGATCGAGATGTCCTCCGGTGGCTCAGCGGTAAACTTGATAAATTATAATTCGGATTTCGATACCCGCGGTGGATACAGTGCATATACCCCATTAAGTAGTTTTGCTCTTAAAAACAAATTACAGAGTTAAAGATATCCAAAAAGAAAAAAGTAAAACGTTTTAACTATTTTTCCTTTCTAAATTAGATACATACTTGTTTTTAATATATGAAAGGAGTGTGTTTGGTATAAAATGGAACATGGCTCATAACAAATCTGATAACTCATATTTTTCTGTGTTTGACCTACTTGTAAACATACGACCAGAGAGGTGGTGGTACTTAGGTCATGTACCACCCTAGTGTCGTAACTGAGGTAAACAGCACACATTATCGGGTGTTAGAGCTTAACGCTGCTTATTTTACTACGTTTAAAACTGGAATTTTAGACATGTTTCATGTAATTATACACAGAATTAAAAATAATAGATTAAAGTTTGAAAAGAAATAAGAAAGAAAAATATTGGGTAGGAAATTTGGAGAACTGTACGCAATGCTTGTTTGTTACGAAATTCCAATCGTCACACTTTCCATCATGTAGTTTCACACTTGGTATAAGTCTGTTACGACATCCCAGTTGTCACTCTTTCCGCTGCACTTTCACATTTGGTACTCGACTGTTACGACATGCCAATCGTCAAACTTTCTAGGCTACACTTTCATACTTGGTATATTACTATTACGACATTACATTGTTACACTTTCACACTTGCTATACAACTAATACGACATTACATTGTTACACTTTCTACGCTACATTTTCACACTTGCTATACAACTAATACGACATTACATTGCTACACTTGCTATACAACTTATATGACATTACATTGTTACACTTGCTATACAACTTATACGACGTTACATTGTTACACTTTCTACGCTACACTTTCACACTGCTATACAACTAATACGACGTTACATTGTTACACTTTCTACGCTATACTTTCACACTTGTTATACAACTAATACGACATCACATTGTTACACTTGCACTGCAACTAATATGACATTACATTGTTACACATTCTCCGCTACACTTTCACTCTTGCTATACAACTAATACGACATTACATTGTTACACCTTCTATGCTATACTTTCACACTTGCTAGACGACAGTTTCAACATCTCTGTTGTCACACTTTCTAAGACGTTATGTAACACATAAACTAAATGGCTAGATCAGAGATCATAAGATTTAGGCCCAGTCATCTCTAATTTAGCTTATGTCGACTACACAGACATCCTTAACCGAATATTGGGAATGACTGTCACAATTATAAAGCTACCATGTTCAGCAGCATATCACAGTTCGAACCAGCATTGGACTTAGCTCAGAACTGTGTGTGTCCGTAAATATATTTGGGCGTTTTAGTGTGTATACACCTTTTAATAAATATTAAGCTTACAAGATAGTTAGCACATGCTCGAAATTCGAAAATACTGGAGATAATCAGGATCATTTCCAACAAGGTTCAATTATTTTTATATAATTCGATATTTTTGTTTTCACTTGAATCTCTTATGGAGGATAAAACTTCAAGGCCAAGAATGAATGTAAAACAATCAAAATATAGTGAGACAAAGTAAGTGTTGGACACCAGAAGTGTGCTACTTTCAAATTATCTAAAATTCTAGGTTTTGGTTACTGCCGTTACTCCGTGTGTGCATATGTACATGGTATAAAGTAAACACTCACTAGGACTAAAATAACAAAATAGGTAGTTAATTCAGTCCTGTTTGATAATCAAGTTTTAAACATATATCGGATCAGTTACATAACTGAAGTTGACCTGCACATTTAATATACCATTTGGAGTATTAACACTTATGTTGATTTAGTTCAAATACAAGAAGGTAAACATATGTGAGCCAAAAATAATTATAGAAGTGAAATGTTATCAATACCGAAATATATGTTCAAAAACGTTTTATTTGGAACTATTTTAAACTTCATAACTGTAATTTTAATTAATATTTTCTATTGGATTTTATTAATTGTAAGATAAAGAGATATTTGCAAATTTTTTAAAATGATAATTTTTGAGGTCTGGGCGTGACCTGATGGTTAACGTGCTGAACTGTGAATCCGATGGTCACAGTTCATGTCCTGTTTTCCAGTGATTATTGGTACGAAATATCCAACTTTTGATCACTCGCTGAATCAACTATATTCCAAGAATAATTCTTAATTGCTTTGAAAAAGTGATAGATTTGTTTTACTCGAATTAGCCCCCAGTGGCCCAGCGGTATGTCTGGGGACTTACAACGCTAGAAAACGGGTTTCGATACCCGTGATGGGCAGACCACAGATAGCTATTTGTGTAGCTATGCGCTTAAGTACAAACAAAACAATACTCGAATCAAAAAATGGCAGTATTCACTTTCGAGTTTTACATAAAACCAGTTTTTCTCGTGTCAGTTTGTGGAAAATGTAATAATTAATATTTGTTCTAAATTTAAAACAGCTTACTCTCAAATATCTGAACCTTTTGAGTTCAGGAAAAAAAAGTCAGAGGAAATTTACAAATTGAAGGTAATTGTTTTCGTGTTAATTATAAAAGACAAGTACTGATCGAGTTTTAAGTTATTCATTTCCAAATAATATTTTGCACATAGACAGATATTAGGTTATTTATTTCATTTTTCATATCAGAGTTGCGGAGAAAAGGTTTGTGATTTGCTAAAATCCTATTAAGCAACTGCTCTCTAGAGTTCTCTAAACTCTAACAGAACACTTTTAAGAAATGTATATTAAGAAAGACTTTCTCTGAGTTCCTGCTTCGGTAGTTATTCTAAATGGTTTAAATCATAATTAAAACAAAACAAAAACAAAAAACTCACTTTCAAAGGTAGGACTCTCCTTAATGAAAGAAGATCTTACTAAAAATTGTTTTCATTAGCCACAGTTTCAGAATCTTAGGATTATTAAGAGCTATTCTAACCAGGAAGGCCGACAAACCTTTGCTATTGGAAGCTGAACAATCGTGCTCTTCGAGACATTGTTGAACACACTGCCTCAGTTCAGCCACACAGTCCACACATCCACCACCTCGTTGTCCTGGCAACACACGACGTCTTGGACCGAACGGGAAAGGTAGCCTCTGGGCGCCAGAGATACCACATAAAATAACAATGAGAAACAAAACTGTTACTCGCATTGTCACAAATATCTCTAAGTCTAACCTATTATAATGCGTATGATGAATTGTCTTTTGTTTGGTAGTGTAATATCATGAAAAAAGTCAACACACACACACAGAAGAAATTAGAAAATTGAGACACCTAAAAAGAAAGTCGTAGCTTCTTTTTCTAGGCCACCTGAATGAACAGAAACTATCTGGAAACTATGTATATTAAGTCCCGTTGGAGCATGTTTTAGCTACGTCATAACTAATACAGAGATTACTGTCAATAGCGCGTTTCCAAAATGATTGAAAGAAAGTTGGGAGAGGTGATTTATCCTTGGGGGAGGGCGTGGCCGTTTAAAGAAGTTGATTATATGTCTGTACAAATACGAGGCACAGCACAGTTTGTCTTGCATGATTACTGTTTATAGTAAAATACAGGTGTTCACACAATTAATCGATAGTTACCTCGAGGCTTGGCTTGTTTTCTTTTTTAAGCTTGTAAACTACTGTTTGAACGCCATACTACAAGAACCGGTACACTTGAAAGTATGTCAAATTACTAAAATATCTTCTAGCATGTTCTAGCATTGATAGAAATCCCGAGGTTACAAAATACTCCTTTTAAACCTAGATTTATCGATGGGGGTCCATATTCGTTAAACACTTTTTTTTCTCAACTATTTATAGACCAAACTGCTCTCGTGTCAATGACATCGGTGGTTATAGGATTCCTGATAACACACGAGTCACATAAACGAAAAAAAAAAAAACGTAAACAAAAATACCATCACATCGCAATTAGTGCCAATAATTACCGTTCGGGTTATCTATGTCTTTTATACAGAATATGAGGGATTTAATCTAATTTGTTTAGTCAATTTGTTATGAGTGTTGTAAGAGGCAAAAACATAAAATTTCTCAATATGAAGCAATATGTAACCCCACCGGTAGTGAAAGGTATAATAACATAATAGTAATTTGAAAGTTAAAGCATTTACGATTCATATTCGTGTATGTGGGAAAAGAAGTAAAATAAAGTGTTTTCGTTTTGTTTTGTTTCATTATCTGTGTGGTCTTTAATGCAATTATATTATGTTTATTGTACTAAATATCTAAGAAAATAACAATCAAAATAAACTAATTACAGCCATATCTCCTATACATTAGTTACGTTTAAGGAGGCTAAGCTAACACTATTCATGTGGACCGTGGAGTTCCCTCCTTGTGGAATGAAAGGTTAGGAGTCTCGCGCTGTTATCCTGAACTTCAAATGATAGATAATGTTGCTGAAGCTATGAATATATACACTTTGGAGTGTCTTCACTATGGACTGAAATGTTAGGAACCACGTGATGTTATCCTGAACTTCAAATGATAGATAATGTTGCTGAAGCTATGAATATATACACCTTGGAGTGTCTTCACTATGGACTGAAATGTTAGGAACCACGTGATGTTATCCTGAACTTCAAATGATAGATAATGTTGCTGAAGCTATGAATATATACACCTTGGAGTGTCTTCACTATGGACTGAAATGTTAGGAACCACGTGATATTATCCTGAACTTCAAATGGTAGATAATATTGTTGAAGCTATGAAGGTTTGTACCGTGAAGTTATTACTTCACTATGAACTGTAAGGATAGTTAGGAATCACGCATTGGAGAAGTAATATAAGACTTTCGATCTCAAAAACTCTCAAACACACGTCATTAATTTTTAACCCACAGTTCACCATGAATTATCATCTCTGTTATTTTAAACGGAGCTCAGAATCATTCTGGAGCAACTGCACACAGATGGTTTTATATCTGTCAACATCGAACATATAAATTTGTTTTGGGATTTTTATCGTAGACTGAAACGTCGTAGTATTTGAAATGTGTATTCACATGTTCACTCCAATTGAACGACTACTAAACAATCTCACTAACTTTCATGTTCAACTTTTACCACGTGCTGGAATATCAAATCTCGCACTTGAGACTACCTACTTGTATTTCTTTATTTTCTTGGAGCTTTAACTCACTGAATAAAACATGCACGTTAAAACCATTCCTGTTTCATAACAGCCAGCATAACTAGGCCAAGGATAACTGGATCTAAAAGTTAGATTTTATTTTCTTTTTAAAGTTCAACCTACTTGTTACACCAAGGCCACCGTATACCCGATGTTTTAGTGTGTGTGTGTGTGTGTCGAACAGAAAGACTAGAAACTATTTATAATTCACGTAAACATTGACGTGGCGCCTTTGAGGGTACCACATACACAAGTATATATTTTTGCATAATTATGTGTTTTTTACAACATTTTTGTTTAAATGACCGTTTTTATGTGCTTTCTAAACTAAGTTTATTATTCAAAACGGGTAACGTATTTTGGGTCAACGGTAAGTTTACGAACTTACGTTAAAATATGAGGATTCGATTCTCCTCGTTGGAGAGAATGCAAATGGTCCTTTGTTTAGCTTTACACGAAGAAACAACAACAATATTTTTCTAAAAGGAATTGAAATCACTCCTTCTTTTCACATCTTCCTAAACTTCGTTGTTACATTTTAATATATTGTTGCGTCATCGAGTCACATGACTACTGTTCTTACTAGATATAGGGTAGGCTGGTATATAAAAGAGGGGAATGTAATGTGTGGTAGATAGTGAGTAATTGAACTGCAGTCAGAGAGCACGAGAGACGTTACAGCGTTTGTTTAGCGCGATTGTTGAAGTTGAGTGTATCGGTAAAGTTATATTTGGAAAGAATAAACCAGTTTTTATTAAGAAAGAACTTGTGTCGCTTAAGTTTCGTCGGAACGAAGTTACGGAAAATCAATTAACAAACGGAGACGTAACAAATTGGTGTCAGAGAGTGGGATAGAAAAAAAAAAAGAAGAAAAAATGGAAACGAGAGGCGGAAAATCAAACTACAGCTTAGCAGATTTGATGGCAGCAATACAAAAACAAGAAAAGAAACAAGAAGAACGAGAAGAGAAATTACAACAGTTGTTAGAGGAAAAAGAAAAGAAACAATAAGAAAGAGAAGAGAAATTACAACAGTTGTTAGAG